GAGGGCAATTCAATGAAAAAAAGGGGACTTCTTTAGAGCAACAAACTACAATAAATGGTTGAATAGATGGATGGACAGAAACCTTATTCATCCGGGGAGGGAAATTAGTTTATAAAAACTACCATAAACCAAGCAGTTTACCATTCTGTACCCTTAAGGGCAACTTAATTGATGGGAGGATCCACAATTTTTCGTCGGCGCAACTGGTCGTCAAATAGGACCGCAAACAACAATAAATGGTTGAATAGATGGATGGACAGAAACCTTATTCATTCGGGTAGGGAAATTAGTTTATAAAAACTACCATAAACTAAGCAGTTTACCATTCTGTACCCTTATGGGGAACTTAATTGATGGGAGGATCCACAATTTTTCGTCGGCGCAACTGGGGGGGTCAAATAGGACCACGCACCTCCTAACCAGATGGATGACGAAAATGCCAGTGCATTAAATGTACAGAATATTGCCTGCAAGCTGCCAATTGCCTATATCTGCTCTCGTATGTCGAATAGCTCGACATGTCTTTTGCTCCTCCATAGGTCGCCCTTTGTATCTCAGTGTTTATCTGGAACTACAGTGCAAGCAGTGAAGATAAGCTCTGTTTGCCTTTAAACCCTTCAAAAACTGACAATGCAAATGTTCCCCATGTGAGTTGAAGATTTTCAAACAATAACTTGGAAGATATCAGTGCAACAATTTAATTCAAAGTCCTTTCACGGTATCCAGATGAGAGTTGAAGATAATGATAGCCATGTGTTGTTTAGTTAGCGAGGACTTCATGCAGAAAATCTAAACCGGCGCTTTCTGGAGGGGTTGGGACAAACAAGCAGGACATTGGAGCAGTTACACATTGACTTGGAACACAATTTCAGTACAAGTGGTACATGATAACGGCAGACACAGGAATCTTCTCTCTCTCTGGATGAAAGACGTGAGGGGAGAATCTGCTTCACTGCCAATCTGTTGGATTTGTTTCATCATTGGTAGGCAGGCACTACTTTCATCATCAGTGAGCACCGGTTTTACGTCCTTTGTGATTTTGTTTGACTGCATTAGGTAGGGGGCAGCCCAGTGGTCGACTGGTTAGGTTCGATTACGGCTCTGGCCTTCCTGTGTTGAGTTTGAATGTTCTCCCCGTGCCTGCGTGGGTTTTCTCCGGGTACTCTGATTTCCTCCCACATTCCGAAAACATTCGTGGCAAGTTAATGGAACACTCTACTGGTAAATTGTACCTAAGTATGAATAGTTGTTTGTCTGTGTGCCCTGCAATTGTCAGCCAGTTCAAGATGTCTCCCACCTACTGCCCGAAGACAGCTGGGATAGGCTCCAGCACGACCCGCGACCCTTGTGAGGATAAAGCAAATCAGAAAATGGATGGATGGATGCATTAAGTAGACGTGACAAACAGGTCTTACGAATTAAGAGAGGGTTCTCATTTCTCAAGAGTGATTGTCTAAATATACTTGTTTGCTTGCTCTGGGAAACTGGGAACAAAATTGACAGAAATTTCTTCTCCTTCAACTTAATGCTTTCAATGACACTATTGATTTTTAGAATTTGACACTTCTGTTGACAGGAGGTTGTGGAATAAACCAAAAAGTTCATTTTACCCAAAAATGGGCCTATAAATAGCTAAAACAGAGAAAACGATCATGAGCTGCATCTCAAAAGTTGTTAGCGGTCAGCAGTATGGAATTGCAGCTTGCGATCAGAGCTGCTGCGCTATATCTTTGATTGTTATTATTATTATATATGTGTGTGTGTGTGTGTGTGGACAGGAGGTTGTGGAATAAACCAAAAAGTTCATTTTACCCAAAAATGGGCCTATAAATAGCTAAAACAGAGAAAACGATCATGAGCTGCATCTCAAAAGTTGTTAGCGGTCAGCAGTATGGAATTGCAGCTTGCGATCAGAGCTGCTGCGCTATATCTTTGATTGTTATTATTATTATATATGTGTGTGTGTGTGTGTGTGTGCGTGTGTGTGTGTGTGTGTGTGTGTGTCCTCTTCAGCAATGGCACCATACCCAAGCCTGGCACTCCTGCTGGTGTGTTTCACCTCTTGCTGGGGTGGGAAAATTCTGGTCTATCCTTGCGACGGAAGCCACTGGCTCAACATGAAACTTCTGGTGGAGGCGCTTCACTCTCAAGGCCACGAGATCACAGTGCTGCGAACCTCCACCAGCTGGTACGTATCTGAGAAGTCTCCCTACTACACCTCTATCACCATCATGCTGGAGCACTGGCAGAACATTGAGAGCCAAAACTACATGACCTCCTTCCTGGAGAGGTCCATCGAGATCCGGCGGCGCAGAGACTCCCTGTGGGCTTTTGTGGAGTTTTACAAGAACCTTTTCAGCCTTATTGGGGAGAACCAGGTGACTGTGGCAAACATGGTGGTCAGCATATTTGAAAATCAAACGCTCGTCAAGGAACTGAAAGAAAGTGGATACGATCTTTGTTTGACAGACCCGGCCTTTCCAGGTGGGGTGCTGGTTGCTCACTATCTGGACCTCCCCATGGTCTTTAACGTGCGCTGGCTTTTCAATGGAGAGGCGCACTTTGCCATTGCGCCGTCCCCTCTATCGTACGTTCCCACCCTGTTCTCCCATTACTCGGACAAAATGGACTTCTACCAAAGAATCAACAACATCATCTATCACGGCGTTCTGTTTTACATGTACCACTATGTGTCCAATCCGCCTTACCAGGCCGTGTGTGAGCGCTATTTCGGAGGTGACGTCAGCGCCATGTCTCTCATGCAGGGAGCCGATATCTGGCTGATGAGGGTGGACTTTACCTTTGAGCTGCCTCGTCCCACCATGCCCAATGTGGTCTACATTGGAGGGTTTCAGGGGAAGCCCTCCAAGCCTCTGCCGGCGGATCTGGAGGACTTTGTGCAGAGTTCTGGAGAACACGGAGTGGTGGTTATGACTTTCGGAACTATGCTGGGCGACCTCGGCCCTGAGTTATCCGAGATCATCGCCTCTGCTTTTGCCAGCCTCCCTCAGAAAGTCGTGTGGCGACATATCGGGAAGAGACCCGCCACTCTGGGGAACAACACCCTACTGGTGGATTGGTTGCCTCAGAACGACATACTGGGCCACCACAAGACCAAAGTCTTTGTAACCCACGGGGGCACTAACAGCATATACGAGGCCATCTACCACAGCGTCCCGATTTTGGGGATTCCGCTCATCTTCGACCAACATGACAACATGGTGCGAATGAAGGCCCGCGGCTGCGCCGAGACTGTAGACGTGGCGACGCTCGACGTGGAATCTTTCACCGCTTCGCTGAAGAACATTCTCGATCCCCAGAAACCTTACAAGCAGAACATGATCAAACTTTCCCAACTTCATCGCGACAAGCCCATGAAGCCCATTGATGCTGCCGTCTTCTGGATAGAGTACGTCATGAGGCATAGAGGCGCGGCACATCTGCGCACAGAGTCGTATAAGTTGCCGTGGTATGCCTATCATTGTTTGGATGTAATTGCAGTCCTCGCACTTTTCTGTTGTCTCGTCGTTGCATCAACTTGCGTTTTCTGTAGATGTCTTTGTAAGCATCTAGTAGGGGCCAAAAATAGCACTTTTAAATCTAAGAGAGAATAGATCCGGAAGCTCCTGGAAAGCAGTTTGGCACTTGTCACATTCACATTACGGCTTTTGGGAAGAGCGTATCCATGAGCTGTGCCGATATATTGTTTTAGTAGAAAGAAGCCATGCTGCAAATGCAGTGGAGGGCCGTGCATTTAGAACCGGGACTCAACCCAACTTAATCCACCTCTTAAATCACCACCATCACATTCCAGTTCTTGAAAATATAATGCCCAAAAATACAAGATAACACCTCACAATCGTGCCACCTCATCTGGTGTAGGTCACAATCCGTATTTATCTAATACCATAACAAAAACCGAAAACATTTAAATAAAAGACAGGGTACCTCCTAGAGACAGGAAAGACATTAGATAATGATTCATGCTTATGTATTAAGGTGTGCAGATCGCTACAGACACTTTTTGCTAGTTGAACCTAATCGCTAACGAGTTTTGCTTCAACTAACCAATCAGTGGACAGAAAAATAGGTGTTCCCGTGAACCAGCTCTCTGTGAGGCAAATTTGAAATCTGATTGGTTTTAAGAAGCAGTGTCATTAATTCCCAGTTAAGGAATCATGACACTCTCGTGTCCTGTGAGATCAACATGGGTGATGTGGGAAATTATCTAGTTTGACTTAATTGAGCTGAATAGTTGTTGTTGTTTTTTTTTTTTTTAACTGCAAATAATGAATCAATGTTTATATCAGCTACGTGCGGGGACAGGCAATACAATAAAATGCTTTTCTTTTAAATGGCTGAAAGTGCAATAAAGCTGCTGCCATTCACACAACAGAATAAATGGTATTTGCCTTTGAAAATATCAGCTTTGTGTTCAGTTAAACTGGCTCAGTTTTTATACGGAATCAATTCGTGAGTGAATTGAAATGAAATCATTTTGATTTCACTCTCCTGACGTGATATTTTTGTTTGGTGGGTTGCTGTGACATTTTGCTGATCTAAAATGTGCACTTGGGTCAATAAAAGTTGGAAAACACGGTTTATAAGTTCTATGGTCCGGCCTCGGTGATTGTGAAGGTCCTTGATGTCATGATCTATGTGGTTTTGTTTTTTACTTTTTTTCTGTGCATTTTCTCCGACTGCTTTGGTTTCTTCCCACATTCCAAAAACATGTGTGGCAGGTTAATGGAACACTGTAAATTGTCCCTAGGTGTGAGTGTGAGCGCGGATGTCGAAGTGTGCCCTGTGATTGGCTAGCAACCAGTTCAGGCGAGTACATATTCGGCGTTTGGCGGAAGCGACCTATGAATTTGTACACAGCCATTAAGCCTGTCCAAATTCCCCACGCTGCATGCGGTCCACAGAGGCTACAAGAGGAGGAGCCTTTCAAGGCTCCCAAGGACCTGTGTGTCCTACAAAAAAAAATAAAAATGCAGGAGTGGATTTTAGGGACCATTTTATTTCTAAACCTTGTTTTGAAATCCGTTTTTTAGATTGACCGTCTCACACTGGTGGCGATAAATTGGGGATGTCACCAATGATAAGGGATGGAAAAATGAGGCCATCTTTCCTTGAAGACGAAGAGAAAACAAATGACTATATCCAAGTCATGTTTATTTTTTTCCACGATACACATGTGGAAACTGTGTGTAGGCCACAGAAATGTCAAAGATGTGATGGCCTGATATGCCTGAGGGGTTGTCACACGAATGAAGGAGTTGACAGATGAATACAGTATAATGTCATATAATTTCGACAAACATTACTGTGCTGTCAAATTTAGGGTAACTTATAAGCACGTCTTATTAGAAATGCATGGCACTGAACACCGAAAAATAAAAATCTTCACCGTAATCAGGAAATATACAGAATATCCAAAACTGTTTACACTGAAATATAAGAAGTGCAACATCGTAGGTACAGTGTTAGGAACAGTAGGAAATGGTCAATGTCTATCTGGGGAATATATACAAGCATCTCATCTCTCATGTTATATGAAAACGTTTTAGTATGAGGAGCCAAACTGAAAAGATAAAAAAACAAACTTGATATATGAGAAGAATACAGTCATAACTTATGAGAATAAAGTTGCAAGGTGTGTGCCAGTTTATCTGGACCAGGCAAACATTTACAAAAGTACGACGTAAAGGTCACTATTCTAACAATAATCTTATGTCGATGAGAATATTTTATTTTGGGAGGAGATTCTCTACATTGTTCATATTAACTCAGTGAACCAACAAATTGCTCCTCTTCTATCCATTTACGCTTGTACAATGAATTTATTAAAAAAAATTTTTCCAACTTCTGTCCCAATTCACACCAATATCCTCAACCTATTTATTGAAAGGCTTGTCATGAATATTCATTCCTTACATGAGCACAAAGAAACCTGGACCTTAATGGGTGTAATTTCCCGACAAACCTAAAATGCACTTAAATCTTCACAAGTGAACATCAACATTAAAAAAAAAAAAAAAAATGGACTGCACATGCTGAACTGTTCAGTGTTTCAGTACTTTTTTTCCCAACTTGTTGTTTTGTAATTGGGGTCTGATCAGACATCTTGCTCTAATGCCTTTCTGTGACTCTTCCAGTCTCTGTCTCAATGTCACAACCTGGTGATGACACCCTTTGACACTATGGGCCAGTGATTCCCAACACGCGAGGAGATCATCAGGTTTGCCACGGGAAATGAGATAATTTCACTTCAAATAATTTATTTACAGCAGATAATGTACCTTTGCTTATCTATCTATGCCAGCAACAGGCAAAACAATAAAACACTCTTCCACTAAACGGCAGAAGATACACATTCCTAAAGGTTCTCTCTCAAGGTCCACACATTGGTAGACGGCTGTTATTTTATAGTTCTGGATCAAAAAATGTCTTTAGAGAGAATTGACCGTGAAACAGACATTTTAGGCTTCTTCTCTTTAAATATCAATTCAAATTGAAACATGAAACGTATTGCTCAATTCATCGATCAAACACCTGCTGTGTGCTGTGACTTCGCAGGGCACACAAATGCATCTGGACATTTTTTTTCTTCATCTACAAAATTGACATTGTCTCTTTCCAGGACTAACAACAGATTAGCCCAGCAGTTTGAAGACTGGTGTTACCATGGCAACCAGTCAAGGTCTGTATCCCCAAAGAGCCGGGTTGGTGAAGGGCGAGTAGGGGCACTTGCTGTGGCAGACGCACGAGTGGATCACCATGACCGCTTGCTGTCGCAGCGTGCCGGCGGGGCAGCGAAAGGTCACGTCGGCGGTGGAGGTGTGGAACGGCGTGCAGCAGCGAGAGTCGTTGCAACCGCCGCAGTATCGCAGCCGGAAGACGCGCGTGCTGCTGCAGCCGTGATGGACCAGCCGAACGGGCTCGGGTGACGTGTAGCTGACCGTGCACTGGCCCTGCTGCTCCCGTTGCTGAAACGGCACAAAAGGACAGACCGCAGTCAATTAGTTTAGTATGGAAGCCATCTCAAATCAAAATCTTCATTTAACCAGAAAATAAAAACCTTAGAGACCTCGGTCTCCCTTTCAAGGGTAATCTGGCCAAGAAGGCAGATTATTGTACAATGTATTGATCCCTCTATGTGTTCACATTAAAACATTTTTTTAATCATCTCACAAGATACATGAGTAAACATGCCCCAAAATGTACATTGTACAATGAACATACACCTGTCTCCTTCTGTAGGTGTAAAAAGTTAGATTTTTTTTTTTTTTTTTGCACAGTGTGGATTAGGGGGTTGAGGGGGAATGGTGGTCGAGTGGTTAGCACGTCCTAGCTCACAGTGCAGAGATGCAGGGTTCGATTCCGGGTTCGGCCTGCCTGTGTGGAGTTTGTTCTCCCCGTGCCTGCGTGGGTTTTCTCCCTGTACTCCGGTTTCCTCCCACATTCCAAAAACATGCATGGCAGATTGATGAAACGCTCTAAATTGTCCCAAGGTGTGAGTGTGAGCGCGGATGGTTGTGCGTCAATGTGTGCCACAGGCAACCAGTTCAGGGGTGTACCTCGCCTACTGTCGAAAGACAGCTGGGATAGGCTCCATGACACTTGTGAGGATAAGCGGATTAGAAAATGGATCGATGGATGGGTTCATCCTTCAAACTCACCGTGTGTCCGCTTGGTATGGGGAGATGCGCATGGCAGGGTCGCACTTTACAAAGGCGAGTCTCCATTTGCAGCTTGCAGGCCGGATTGCGGTTGGACACTCGCGTGGAGATGCCGGCCCCGCAGCTCTGGGAACAGGCGCTCCACTGGGTGCTGCGCTCTGTGCAGACAGAGGCGACCGGCAGCGGGGGCGGTGGTTGCGGAGCGTCTGCTCTCATGGCTGGCACAAAAATCGGAGACAAAAGATACAAAAACACAAGGGAAGTGAAGTAATGTTGGAGATTTGAACATTTGCTAATCACTGGCCACCAAAATGGTGCCCATGGGCACCAGGAAGCCCTCAAAGACAACATGAATAGCCTGTGAGCAGCGTTTTCCCAAATTGCTCTGCAACTCTGAGAGCCTCGATGTAATTTGTTTTGTTGCTCATCTTGTTTGAATCACTATGGAAGCATATTGCTGCCACACTAGAAGGAAAAAAAACAGTTCAGTCCACATTTTTGTGATGTACTCTGTCGGGACTCACAATTGAACCCTTAGGTACACTTAGTACTGTTTAAGTACTGTTTATGGTTGTAAAAGTTCCACGAATTGTCCAGACGGGCAAAGGAACCATTTCTATGACTTAATGTTTGCATACAAGGGTACAAACAAGTATTTTGCCTACGTGATTGCCTGCCGAAAGAACACACAGTTGAGTGGAATGCAATTTAAAGAAATGACTGTGCTACAGCTGTACACGTGATTGCGCCTGTCTTGATATGTACATAGTCAGCCCTTCACCTTCTGCATGTTAGCAGGGTCATCATCGTTTGATTTGTTTTTCTAATGCAGTTGAACAAGTGCAAGTGCTCCTATTTGATACGCCTGATGTAGGTACAAGTTAGAACTGATCAAGTGCGGTAAGGTAATATGAATCATTTTGTGTAATATTGCCCACCCGTTATCTAGTCGGTACCCTTTGTAGGCAAATTTGGACCCTTTGGAACAGATTTGTAAGGGTCCCCTTTTCAAAAGGTAGTGCTCCAGAGGCATGATTAAAATGTGGTAAACGGGCCTAAATGTCACCTCTTTTCCTCAAAAATAATCAAATGATATCTTCTTTCAACACACTTTAATCGTGTGTAACCGATTTTTTCATTGAACGCTCATACACAAGTTGCCCTTGCCACAACATAATGATAACTACCGTATTTTCCGCACTATAAGGCGCTCCGGAGTATAAGGCGCACCTTCAATGACTGGCCTATTTTAAAACTGTTTTCATATACAGGGCTTTACAGAACATTTAAAATACTACATCCAAGAAATCAGAATATTGATCCATAGACAAGGTGTGTCAGATTATAAGACACACTGTCGGCTTTTGAGAAAAGTGGATGCTTTCAGTGGGTCTTATAGTGCAGAAAATACGGTACTTTCAATTTAGCAAACCCTGATTTCAGCCTGAGTAAATCCATTTGTAAGTAATTTCAGGCAAGATCACCAGCGTTGGCTGGATAAAGGTTGGGAAACAGAGAGAGAAAGTTCAAACTCCAAACTCCAAATTCTTGTGGCATTGGAGCAAAACTTCATATTTAACAAACAGGTGGGAGACTTTCACCTATGTAACACTGCACATGGAGCAGAAATGAGCTTATTTTCCAGCACGTGAAGGTATTCCATGAAACTCGCTCCACCTTAATATTTCCTCTGGTACATGTTTTTGTCATTTCTGGCCAAATATTAGCAAAGTCCTCCCTGGTGGCTCCATGATTGTTCGTCCATATGGCGACATCGTGCCTGGTCATGTCTGTGAGTTTTTAACTGGGCTGCGTCGGGCCAAAGCCAAGCCACATTTCATTGGGGAGAAAGGCGCAAACAGTTCTTTTAATAGCACTTCCTAGCAACAAGCAGCTGTGTAAAATGAAACACGAGTGGATGTTACTCTTCTGTGAGTGAGAAAGAGAGACAGCGCCACAGAGAAGGGAAATGAAGCCATTACAAAAACATTTGAAACGCCAAACGGTGTCTGACTACATTCAAGGGACTACAAGCAAGAGAACATTTTTGTTCTTGAATATCTGCTTAATATTATGGCTTGTGCATGCTCGTTTTTAAAGGAACTACTGATTGAAGTGAAAAAACAAAGACAAATCTCCCAGTGTGACTGCATCCGTTGGTGAAGTCAACACCAAGCCACAGAGTATTGAATGTGAGTCACCAGCGTGATGTAATTGAGCTTGATGAGCGCTTGGAAGGTGAGGTCACAAATTACACCTCCCTCTTTTCTGCTCTGAGTTGAGGATGAATAATCTAAATTTGATCCAATATGTGGCAACATTATGTCTAATTCTTGACAGTCTCCACTATTGCTATAGTGTTTTCAGACCTTTAATGAACTGAAGCATTCATTTTACAATCTATTTGAAAAATCTCGTGGCACAACAACAAACAAATATGTCCCAAAAAGTCAAGTGAAATCATAACAATCTTGCCGGGCCGGTTGAATGCTTTGCTACTATTATGTTGGGTGAATGGCAACAGGTTCTGCCATCGAGTGGAAAAGCATTGAATTGTTCTGCTTATCACTATGCGATGCTAGCATAGATAGATGAACACAAGATACATGAAGACACACTACATCACATTAAGATACATTGTTTGCAGTCCTCAAATTAATGACAATGAAAAAACCACAAAGTGAAACGGATAAAGACTCTGTGAGCCTCTGGCTATGAATTTTGGCCTACAGCAGCCTCTTTGAGTGTTCATTTTGCATTTGTTTGTTAGCCCATACTGTTCAATTAATGGTGGGAAAGCTCATTGGCAACTGTGACTCAAACTTTTTTTCACTTTTCTCAAATGATGTGTTAATTACATTTTGGCTGGTAACGACAGAATGGAACTGGAAAAACTAAGTAGAATGAAGCTCCTCAACTCACTACATCACCAGGAAGCCACTAAATGCACCTAAAGCAATAATGTTACTGCTTTGGAAATTTGCAAGTAAATGGAGACAAAATCATCATATGCGCATCTAGGGCTACTTTGTGGGATGTTTTTGGTGATGTGCGGGGAGATTTTTCAGCAAATAACAGTAGGTTCCAAAACAAAAAAAAAAACAAAAATCCTCAAATCAGCAAATTAAAAAATGATGACGATGTTGGCATTGACTGTAATGCGTTTACCTGAGATGGCGTCTTGAAGCACAGAGTTGTCTAGGTTTTCACACAGCCACTCCTTGCAGCATTTCCCCGGTAGCCGAACATGTTGCGGATGAGGACAATCCGCAGTGGGGAGGCGAAAATTCAGGGGACACGCGGGCACGCAGCTGACGCCGCCGCCTCTGCAGTGGCAGTGGACGTCACACGAGGGCTGAAAGGATTGGCCGTCGTGATAGCTGATGCCATTGACTTTGCAGGTCAGATCTTCCTGAGCTAAAAGGCACAATTGGCTTCAAGGTTATTATTTATTTCCAACAAATAATGTATCTTTGTTCATCTGTCTCTACCATTGACATAGCATTGACAGACAGAACAATTAAATGCTCGTTCACTAGATGGCAGCAGAAGGTGCAATTAACCTTTGCAGGCATTTATATGCAGAGTCTGACCGTCTACACTGTAGTCCCGCCTCCATTGCGGGGTTTAGGTTTCACATTATTTTCTGCCTCGACAGCAAAAATGACACAGTGTGTATACAGAGACGCATAGGTGTGCATTTTAGTCTGTGCGCCCAACCTGCCGGGAATACACAAGCAGAGGTAAACAAACTGAGACGCAGCGCAGATCCACACTTTTCGAGTGAGGAGGAAACCGACTGCTTTAGCCCTGTGGTGTGTGATATGAATATCATGTTTTCTTGAAAGTAGAAGGTAACAAGCGGAAATGACTTTGCATCATGACATCATCGGCACGTCGCCTGTTTAGATCGGGATATTCTAATTGATCACAAATACAATGTATTCAGGAGTAACTCTGTCCGCCCATGCATGTAAAAAGGTTATCCCAGATGTTTTAGAAACCAAAATGTTGACCTTAACTCGAATAATGATTGCACGTAAATGTTGTCAGTGAAAATCTGCAATATTTACAGTACTTCATTTTTAATTAAGGTCTTTAAACACATGTAATATAATATGTTGAGAGAGAAAGCACAATGCGTAACACCAAAATATTGTACAGACAGTGTATTGATCCCGTTATGTGTACTTCCGGGAAGGTTGAGCATAAATGAACAGTAGCCCAACTCTAATTCAGGGGATTTAATGTCTCCTTGAAATATCATCAACAAATGACTAAGAATGAAACTGAAAAGACCACACAATATTGGAATGTAATATATTTGCAGGGATATAAACATTCAATAAATAGCCATCGTAAAAATAGCCTCCTTTACAATTTAAATCCCATTTTTATTTGACAATAAAGTTGACTTGACTTGACTTGACTTACTGTAGGCATAAAAAGCAGGATTTCATATTCATTTGACTTCTTTAGGCAAATTTACAGAAGTGTGTACATTGTGATGTAAATTGTGAACAAAATTATGTGCCACCATCTGGTCGTCGACAGTAGAAGTACACCAAAATAAACGGGAGCGAGCGCAACAACATAACAAAATTGTGCACACAAAAAAAAAAATACATCTGCAATTTAGTGGGAGGGCAAAGCGTGAAGTGCAAAATGTTGTCAGGGGATCATTGTCGTGAAAATCTTTAAGTCCAAATGGAACTAAAGTGTGCCTTCAAGCGTGCCCTCAAGTGACTTCACATATACCTGTATGTGAAATCAGTCAAATTTATAATGGCCTCACCCTATTTTTATTACATAAAAGGATCTGAATTTGAGTGCAGTGATACAAGTTTCCAAGTTTAATTCATGTGGTGACAAATTCTCAGAATGTAATTTATTCTTATATCAAAACAATTTTCCTAATTAGAATTATGAATTAAATTAAAAAGGTCTTTATTCCATTCCGGCCTCCCAAAAACACAATTGTTTTTAATAAAGGAAGCACAATTGTAAAATATTAATATGAAAATATGATAAAACATAATAAAAGCGAATGTAAACATTGTTGTGTGTAATTAAGTTTAAAGTCATCCATACCCTGAAATACATTTGTGTATTGGTGTGAAAAAAAAATAGTAAGGAACCTCCATTGGCCAGGAGCGGAAACGTTTCAGAGGAGTTGCCAAATTGCATTGCATTCGGGGTTGGATTATTGTGACGCATCGATTAATCGATATTTTTACCAACCCTAATTATTTATTTTTTTTGTCTTCTCAGACCGGTTGGCATTAGAGGATGACACAGGAGTGGATTTTCACTCCCGTCCCATCTCACTCCCACAGAAAAAAAAACAGTGACCCCAAAATGTATTGGCAGGACCCCGCCAATCCTGTTAAAGGAGCAACTCACCGACGCACTCCCCGGGGCCACCAGGAAAACTGGCGCTGTAGTCACATGTTAGCCCCCGTTGGCCGTCGCACAGGAACTTCTCAGTGCACGGTTGGCCCTGCTGCCGCGCGCACACCATACAGCACCGGCAGCCGTCCGCCACTAGGGGAACTCCAGGGGGGCACTGGGGAGCAGGCTGGGGGCAGAGGCACGGCCCGTCACACAACTGACACAACACCTGCAAGAAGAAAAAGACACAAAGGCTTCTGATCAAAATACCATCGAGAAAGACGGAAGAAAACATCATGTAGAGTCTCCACCGCTTCATGTTCTGCAGACAAACCACAACACTGATGCGTATATTTACGGTGGGAATTAAAGAAATACAAATACTTTGTTATTGTAGTGAATTTGATTTCTCAAGTGTCTATACTTCACTTAAGTACAGTGGTGCCTTGAGTGCCTCTACTTATGGCATTTTTGAGATACGAGCCATAACTTGATCAATTTTTTGGTCTTGAAATATGAGTGAAATTCACACTTCAGACTCCCGCCGCTAGAGGGTGGCAGCAAACACCACATCAACTCACATTGCCTTCCTTGCAGTGGAAGGATAATATCAGTTGATGGCAGTAATGTACCATGAAGCTGTTTTGCCAACTGTCCATAGATACCATAGAAGAAGAACCAGAGAGGGCAAAGCGCTTGGTACAGTTGTGTTTTGCACTCATATTTTCCATGTTTGCAGATTATGTGAGGAGCAGCTACGGATGCATTTTTAATTCCCTTTTCGAACAAATGGTAACAAAATTCAGGAAACACAAGCAAATTCTTAGACGACCTGGTGATGGCCTCAACTGACACCACAACTGAATAGCCAGCCCCACATTCTTATTCTCCTGGGCGCTTTGTAAAGGTATGCACACATTCAACTTCACAGATACTACAGTGTAGAACACGAGTAGACAAAATTAATATCTGCACCTAGCATGCAAATATGTTGTTCTTACTGTACATGCATGAAGCTTTAAAATATATACACGTAATAAATTAAATATTTTGCTTGCTACTTTGCGCATTTTGTCTGTTGTGGGGGTGGTGTGGAGCATACAATAAACCGGAATGACTGTTTTATCTTGGAAGCTCCCTTTATGATGCTTGCCTCATGAGGTGGCATCTGCACTCCGCATCACAACATTCTGGTGCAAAGTGCCTTTTTATTTATTTGGCACCGTGCAACTAAACACAGAAGAAACACATTCTATCATAAAATGATGCATAGTGAACATCAAATCATTCACGATACAAAACACAGCTTGGAAAGAACTGTATTACTAAATGAACTATTCCTTTTATTCAAATACATGATTACTACCGGTTTGTCTAAGCAACAACCACCACCCGCACCCTAAAGGAAAAAAAACATACACACGGCCAACGGGGCACATGCGTCCTCATTCATTCATAAGTTGAAGCCTCTGAATGACGACACAAAATGTGCTAGTAACTTTTGGCGCCCTCTAGTCTGAAATTTTGCTTTACAACAACAGAACAGAGCCATAAGGGGTCATTGCAAAAACAGAGCCGGAAATTATTTTTGTTTTATTGTTGTTTATGTGTACATTGGAATTATTGTCTTATTATTCTCTGCTTAAGAAACACAAAAATAAGTTTAGTTCGGTTCTTACAAATGAGCTACGCCCATTGTTGCGGTAAATAACGTCATTTCTGCTACATTGGTTTCGGTGAGGCCGGTCAGTGGTCGTCATGAAGCAAATACCGGAAAATACAGCTAGACGTTAGAAGCGCTGTTAGGCTTCATCAGCATTGCGTCCTCTCCCCTCTTAGCAGCTTGGCTAAAAATGACTTTTTTAAAGCAAAAAATATAATGAAATGAATTCAGGAAACAAACAGAGAGGGAAATAAATAACAGCAGACATGCTGTTTATGGCAAGATGAAATTTCCCTGTGAATACATGAGTGTCATTTCCTCCGCAACAACTATGTTTGAGGCTCACCTGCGAGGCCACAGCGAGCAGCAGCAGGGTCAAGGCTGTCACACAGTCACACAGCGATCGGTCCATGAGGGCAAAAGTCTACGTTCGTCTCGGGTCTGCGAATGTCTCCGGGCTTCGTCTGTCTCGCCCCTCTGGCCAGCTGCTGACATTTATAAAGTCTGCACTCTGATGTCATGCCGCCGCGATGACTACTGTGTAAACAGCCACTGGAGCACCATCACAAATGTTTCGCATTCCTCCTCCTCGCTGCCTCTTTCCACTTCCACCCGAGTTCCCTCCCTCTCTTTCCAGCTGTGTGATCTTCCAGCTTATGAAATGAGGGGAGACACGGGTACGATGACGATTCCGGTCTAATTGGCGGGGGAATTCATTATGCGGATGTTTTTACACCAGCCAGTCGGCCACATTTTTTCCACTACTCCATTCCTCAAGTGAGCCAGACGTAAACGAGATTGGATCCGTGTCTTTCATCTAGTTTCCAAGATGAGGCTGCAGGCCGTCAACATCATCTTGCCTCTTGGGAGAAAATATAGATTTGATAAAAACATACAATGATCACATAATTACATGGGATTTAAAATAATTAAGGTCCTTCAAATGCTGCTCATTCTGGTGTATGTGCTCTTGCCACCTGGGAGCAGTGGCAAGACAGACATATGTGTATTGGAGACTCAGCCCATCTCTTGGCTTCTCAGTACAGCAGTAATATTAGTTGTTCTTTGCAGAGGATAAGTAATATACCGTTACATATATATATATATATATATATAATATACATACACATACATACACACGTGTGTGTGTGTGTGTGTGTGTGAGAGTATTCTTATATTATCTTTCTACATTTGTAGTTCTGCTGATAGGCATTCAGTGGAGATATTTGTTGCTTAAAGGGTAACAATACTGCCACACAAATGCTAATTGTTAGCTCATGTGCCTATGGAGTTTACCATTTTGTTAGTATTCAGGTAGCGCAAGCTATGTGGTTGTTTTAAATACAGAACCTTTCATCTCTCCATTTTATGTTTAGCTTGACAATAACCTTCAGCTGAGAGCAGCAAACAGTTTGGGGACTCTTTTTTTTTCGAGAAGTCTACCTTGTTGTGAAGTGAGTTGAGTCGTTGCCATCATACAGTGCTCATGTCTCAAGTTTGCATTTGCAAGTCAGAGCAAAAAAAAAAAAAAAAACATTCACATCCACATTCATACCATCACTGAGTGGGAACTGTTCCCGTGCTGGCCGCACACAAGTCAGGCGAATGTAACGCGACACCATCAGCGAATGTCAAAAATCTGTCCTTATAAAGGCAAACAGATTGAAGGTATTAAAAAAATAGAATTGTATTTAATAACAACTAATACAATGAAGGGTCGCACGGTAGTCGACCGTTTAGCATGTCCACATCACAGTGCGCAGACCGTGGGTTCGAATCCGGCCCCCGGCCATCCCATGTGGAGTTTCCATGTTCACCCCGTGCCTTTGTTTGTTTTCCAATTACTGTACTCCAGTTTCCTCCCACATTCCAAAAACATGCATGGTATGTTAATTGTTCACTCTAAATTGTCGTTAAATGTGATTCTAAGTGTGAATGATTGTTTGTCGATGTGTGCCCTGCAATTGGCTGGCAACCATTTCAGAGAGTACCCCGTTGTCTGCCCGAAGACGGCCGGGATAGGCCTCAGTACGCCCGCGACCCTCGTGATGAAATGCATTTCAGATAATGGTGGGATAATACAATGAATGAACATTCGATAGCAGAGGTAAATTCAAGCAAGTAGGTCATTTGGCAAAAAAACTGTGAAACTATTTCCAATTCTTCAACACTCTAAAGGTCTATTTAAAAAAAAAAAAAAAAAAATCACCTTGACCACCCACAGTATCGATGTCAGGATGATGTCATCGCTTGAATGTACACAATATGTACAATGTTCACAAATGCAGTCAAGTCAAAATAACAAGGTTTTCTGGGTGGGCAGTGACGACACGACTAATAAACAGAACCAGGCGGACTGAGTGAGAAGCATCAAGTGTATGTGTGCGTACTTGTGTGTGTGTGTGTGTGTGTGTGTGTGTGTGTGTGTGTGTGTGGGCTCCAGGTGAGGAGCAAGTGTAGCGTTACCGCAGGCTTCCAGTGGTGAATTCTTGAAAAACTGTTCTTTTTCTTTCCTGGCCTCCTCCATGATCGACAAGTGACTGCACACGTTCAATTGTAAATGTCACCACTGCTTGGTTTCAAAAGGGGTAGACAGAGAACGCAAAAGTCAACAGGAAAAGACCGTAACAGAAACAAAAACAACTTCTTGTACATAGGTGGGAAGAGACCGAGAAAAAAAATGGGACCTAAAAGCAACGACAAAGGAGAACAACGTATCATCTTATTGTGCCAATCGATTGCTGTGGCACATTCCTACTATTGTAGCAATGAAAAGAACAAAAGCATTGTCAAAAGCCAACAACATCAACACCTAAGTCCGTGCTTTGAGAGGAGACAGACAGAGAAAGTAAGAACACAAACGACAACAGAAAAATCAACACCTGGCAAAATCTGCCTTTGGAGGTGAAAATAAATACTCGTGTGTCTGGATTTGGTGTTTTGGTGCCCGTTGGACTTTTGCAAGCAACATTCCGCCCTGTTGACTCTGAAAAGTACATTTTGTGCACCTCCAACATTTGAAGCCTCCCAGTATTCCGGTTGGTCAGTTTGTGGTTTCCGAGTGGTGCCAAGAAGCCATAACTGATTTGGGACTTTGTGACTCAACGCAAACAGACGCATTTAACGGACAACGGTGGACACAAGGGGCGGACGCCGAGCGTCTCTGAGACCATGAGGGCTGCCTGACGTTTTGGCACCCGCTGATGCTTTTCCGCAGGGATCCTCCAGACCAGGCACAGATCCCAACCCACAGCCAGGGTTCCATGACAGCATTTTTCAAAAATGCTCCTTTTGTTATGTCAGCCCACCTGGACAACTTTTACAGCATTTACTGTAATACGTTCTGCAGCTTTCTGGTCATTACGTTTGCCAATGTTGACCAGTCTTTCCTGGACTTCATTGAGCCAAGCCGCATATTTTACACAAAAAAAAAAAAAAAATCTCACAGCACTCCACCACAAAAAAATGTCCCAAAGGGTATACTGTGGTACCTGAGATACAAGCCATCTCTTGGCCGTTCTTTTGTTGTGTTTTTTGTCTTGAGATATAAAGACAAATTCAATATACGACTGGACTTCAGACCACCACCACTAGATGGCACCATCAAACATCACAACGTCTGACCACTGTCATTTTACATTGGTATTCTTGTAGTTGAAGGACATCAAATGGTGGCACAATGCAATAGACCCAACAGATGGACAATTCATTAAGTACAGTTGTGTTTTGCGCTCACATTTACCGCGTTTGCAGGTAATGTGCAGAGCAAATGTTCTAAGTATGCTTTTACACACTATAATACCATACAATGCTATGTCTTGCGAAAAACAAAAACATGTTTAAAAAAAAAAATAATGTTGGTGTTTTTGTAAGGGCTAGAACAGATTAATTGCATTTCTACTCATTTCAATGGGGAAAGATGATTTGGGATGCAAGCGTGGTCACGGGACAAATCAAACTTCTATATCAAGGCACCACTGGAAAGAACTTTTCACCATGAGGTCACACGTTCTTCTGGGTGGCAAAAGCTGACTGTATGAATGGTGAACTCTTCTTGATTGCCATAGTTTGAATGTGCAAAATGTCAGTTAAAAAAAATGTCATGTGAGGTAAATCAATTCCTTTGAATGGCGATGCAACACCCAAAAGACTGGCAAATGAATAGACACACATGCTCTATTTGACACGATGTTGTGCTGACATTTACCGGCAGGCTACCTATCGTGTTTGAGTGATGGTAAACTGTGACGTTAGCTTATCGCTTTTTGTGCGTTTTAAAATGAGGAATGTCGCTAGACGCCGTTGTGTCTTCATTCTGTGAGTGGCAGACCATGCCTTTTGCCATCCTATTTCTGTCAGCTTGATTGCAAAGATAACCAGTGAATTCAAGTTGATTTTCGGAGCTGCTCCTATCGCTGACAGTTTTGACGTAGCCACTTCACAATAGGAAGTGCATAAAAACGCTGACTGTGTTACCAGTTTGGCGCAAATTCAACAACATTAAAAAAAAAAAAAAAAAAAAAATCTGTCTTTTTTTCCTTCCTCAAAAGGGCAGATTGTTTTGAAATGGAGATTTGCAACTATAAACAAGAAGACTTGTCAAGTACTGCAGTTCAAGTCAAAATCGAGTCGAGTCTCTTGGATACCAAGTCAAAGTCGAGTCTTTCCAGGCTTTTGGCAAGTCACAAGTCCTCAACACAGCAACTCTTGAGTCTGACTCAAGTCAAGTCATATGACTTGAGTCCCCCATCTCTGGCTATATCCATTTTTCGTCACATTTTTGTGAGGTGGTGTGCGGTGAAGTTTTGTTGTAATTGTATAAAAATTCCGGCAGCTCCAAAAGTTGGAGAAACAGGGTTTTACATTGCGATGTTCCGATATAAGAATTTTTTTTTTCTTTTTAGGAGGGAGGAGGTTGATGATTATTGTGGCCAACAGAACGGTCCCGCAGCTGTTCTTTTTCTCCCCTGTTTGACATGTACATGAATTCCATTTATGATGTCGCATTGACTCACGATTCCAGAAAGGTTTGAAGAGAGGATGGTCATCGCTGCATCAACAAGCCGAGACTGCTCGAGGTCATTGACTGGACTCTCCAAATCCGTCTGCCTCCATTCTTCCGACACCCACCATCTCAAATTCTTTCCTCTTACAACAACAATTTCTTTTTTTTTTTTTCCTCTGATCAACATCCTCTCTGGAAGGGCAGGGGCCAGTGACTAGACGCATGGAATGACCGCATGAGGACATTTTAAGTCCCTCATTAAATAAAAATGTAGAGAAAGGAGCTCTGTCTGAAAGGCACCAGAAATCCAGGTGAAACCGTTCATGCTGACGTTGTCCCACCATAGCATGGCAGCTCCTGGCTTGAATGGACATCAGTGGGCCACCACTTCAAGCAGACTGCTCTTTTTCCTCCCTTTTACACTTCATACAGAGCGAGTAATCAAACTGAGAATTTTATCAATACAAATTAATTGGCTGATGAATAATCATTTGTGCTCCACAGTTTCTGCCTAGTAACAAGTGCACGGCAAGCGGTGACTTGAAAAAAAAATGCAGCCATGGGAAAAATGAAGACACTGTCATGCTTTCTTCAAATGGTGATTGTTAATATATTATAGTGAAGAATAGAGAGCAAAGAAATCACATATTCTTGGCCTTTGCCGTGAATCTAAAAATATAGCTCAGGTGTTGATCCTGTTTCCACTCTCTACATCTTAAGTGAAGCCCCACTTGTGCGGAATGTAGCTGAGTGGACATGATTTGGAGCGGCGCACACTTGTATCTGCAAGGTCCAGAGGTGACAGTGCATGTCAGGGCACAAACCAAGCAGGAAGTCAAAGCAACTTCCTGGAGACCTTTGAGACAAAATTCCTTGTGGG